AGGTGTGCACAATTTTTCTTGACACTGGTTATCAAAACAGAGCCGCATTTGCTTGTATCATTCAACACCAGTTGGGCAAGTCTACACAAGGTTGAGGGAAGAACCACTCACGTTTTGAGACTGCTTTTACACATGCAACAGGTTAGCCGAAACCTTTCCCTCAAGTATCGGTTTACTCTGTTTTATGTTTTGCCCAATCAAAATAACTAGCTTACAAAAGCATGCTCGATTTAATGCATGCCAGGGATAACAAATATAGGCCTATACTTCAGATTTTGATGGAAAAACAAGATCACTGACATTAGTGACATCAGATGCCATTAGTATTTTAAGTGAACTATAATTTAGTCCACATTAGACCATTCAAACTAAAGTTAAAACCAGATATAAACAGGATCTGGTTTCTTTAGAGCTTGCAGTTATTTTAAAATAAAAACCACAGTGAAAGGAAAACAGTGACTTTCACGTTATGCAAAAATACTGATTGTGAGTAAATGATGACAGAAGATTCAGTCAGACTAACTTGCAACAGTTGACCTGTTAAGGCCCCGATATACTTCAAACAAAGTTCTTTTTTGTTCTTCGTCTGAGGGCAAAAAGAAGTTCGAAAAGGCTAAGCGACGGTTTTCGAACTGTTTTCGACCATCCCGACACCCCCGCGCTGCTGGAGGCAGGGTTGTAAACATGAGTCACTATATTTGCGTGTACCCCCTAAACACAACAACAATGGCGGCTGTGAGAGAAGAACAGTTTCGTAAACATCTGGCAGTAGCATTGATCTATTCAAGAAAAAGAACAAGAACAAATGAGGTGGTATGTGCATGCGTCCACTTAACGAAAACAGAAAGAATGATGGCGAGTTAGCCCTTTTTATTCAGCAAATGCGGAGCACAGATGAGGAAGTGCATGTTTCATACTTCAGAATGTGTGCCACGCGGTTTGACGATCTCATGAAAAGGGTATCGCCATATGTGAAACATGCAAAAACACACAGGACACCGGAATTCAAATAAACAATATTCTGCGTATCTTTGACTTTTTTTTTAGTGGATGGTCTCATTCTGTTTGTGACACTGTATGCTACAAAACCATGTTGCTTTTTACTGCCAAGATGCAGTTTTTTGAGCGTATGTTATTCCATAACGGATACAAACAATAACTGTCCACGAAGAAATGAGACGTAAACAAAGGAATTACCATCCATATTACGACATTATTGCTTCGTTGGACTAAAAGTGCTCTATGGAATGTTGTTCAGTGGACCCTTACCTTTTTAACTAAACCGGGATTTACAGCTGTGGATGCGTTTATGACTCGTTATTACGATGAATCTGGTACGTACTGCGTTTTGATTATGCATGTTTTGATGTAAGCGCTTTACAATCATATGGGGGGTCTCTCCTCAACCACCACCAGTGTGCAGCATCCACCTGCGATCTATCGTCGATGCTTGAGGCTTAGACCTTTAGAATGATATATACTTTGTCAAGATTAATTATGTCCCTGTTCATTTAATCTATTCATAAACATTGACACATGCAAACAAAGAGCGTTCAGTGCGCTGGTGTCCAGGTGCGGGTTAACAGGTTAAATCATAAGCAACTAATTGTTACACACTAAACAATCCACCATGACGATTTGTTAATGGTAAAACTCTAAACATCTGATATACAAGCAAACAGAACCATGCATTGTCAATTCTTACAAGGCTGATTCAACATACATCTTTTTAGGACATTTACTGTATCATTTCATATATCTCTGCACAAAGCAAACCAGTCAGTCTATTAAAGTCTGAGTCTGAAAGGGAAGAACAGTCAAGGATTCAGAATAGAGATGGGCTGTGGTTTAAATCTGCAGGATACACAGCCATCAAAAGCCAGATATGATGTGCTATGTTAACGTCCAGTTTCAAATCTCATGTGCATCTTCAATGACAGCAACTGTGTCACTCGAATAAAGAGTCCAAAATAAACCACTGCTACAATCTATTTGAGTCTTTCATTCACACAAACATGACACATTTAAAGAAGAGAGCTGAAAATGACTGCAGTGATCATAATGATGATGAAGAGACCAATTTGTAGATTATTCATGTGTCATCATAAAATGCACACACCTATGTACACTCACACGCACACACACCTTGAAGTAAACCTTGACTTCAGTCCAGAAACTGCTTCTGAACAAATGACAATGACAGCACTCGACTGGGCCATTAATATATTATTGCTATTACTTCTTTTCACTCAAACTTCATTTTTAACAGAACCTAACATTAATGCATTGTAGATTTCTGTGAAAAGTAAGATTTCCAGTAAAACAGTTTATGCAATGGTAAACACTGAATGGATTTTATTCTCACATAAGCTGGAATGAAACACGACATTGCATTTTGCCATTTTTCACCACTAGCAGCACCAAAGAGAATCACAAAAAAATTACTGTCTTCAAACAGGTAGTCCCACCCCAAACTCACAACATTGGTTCAGTGAACCTTGCACTGTTGGACTGGATGGACCACAATGGTCTTCTAATTGGTTTTTGGATGACAAGCTGATAAATGTGTCCGATCTACCATTGATTAGTCTATTTTGAAAATATTTATGTAGAGTTAGTAGGAATTTCTATCACATTCAGTTCCCTAAATGCCTATTTGTGAAACCCTGACCTAACAAATCAAGGACACCATCAACAGATCTACAATCTAATTTGCACAAAACAGCAGGTTGAGCCTATTTTATAATAGCTTAGTCACAGGTAAAGTGAGAGGGGCTTTATGTGATTAAATTACCTGATACATGAGCCATGAAACATGTAATATTAAAATTAATAATATTAAAACACTATATCATCTAATTTTTTTAATGAAAGCAAATGGACAAATGGCTAATAAAAGGCTGTTGAATGATCACCTGTCAGAGGTCTGTCTTGGTCTTGCCCAAATCTGATGCATTTGTTTGGAGCACAGACAGCAAGGAGTGTCAAATGACTGCACCTGTGAGCCTGACACGTGCTCGAAGAAGAGCCCTGATTGATGTGTCACTCAAGAAAAAGTCAAACTGTCATTAGCCTTTCATGGCTGTCTCAAAACCCAGGGAGGTGTCTACCTAGACAGCATTTGAAGTAGGGCTGTGCGATTTGGGGGAAGGGCAGAGAGGAGCGAGTATGAGAAGCATTCACAGACACAGGCTGTGTGTGCGCTCTTCTGAATTGGGAATAGCGAACATGCATCATAAACTTATTTCAAATTAATTTGTTGGGGAGATAAAATGTGTAAGATAGCGTTCACATACTAACAAAAACATCTAATAATGTGTCTTTTATTCGCCAGTACTGAAAACAGAACCGATAAGGGAGCTTTTGATATGCGCTGTGACGCAGCTCTTTCAGATTACCTTTTTTGTTCATTGTCTGTCATTTCGAAGCTCAAGTTGCATAAGTTTTTTTTTAGTTTTAATTTGCCTAACTATCGATCTGACCCAGTGGACGCCATAATCCCACTCTGTCTCTCTCCCGTCCCGCGTTCTTTTTTTAATGGTGGGTGTCTACGCAGTTGGCTAGAGCAGTGCTGATTGGGGAGAACGGAGGTGCGCTCACTCTATTGGTTAGTAAGACTGCAACTCAAGGCTGGCAGTCATGCATATGCTCTGGAACAGAGTAATATCGCGTCCATATCGCAGGCTTTGCGATTAGGAAATCGCAACGTCTCAAATCGCGATTTCGATTCGATTTCGATTAATCGCACAGCCCTAATTTGAAGTCATCGGAGGTGTGTATCAAATGTTCAATATGCTGTCTAGATAGGCCATCAAATAGGTTTTGACATACAGCACTTAAGTGTTTATCTCAATGATGCCAAAACCTGATGTAAGCACCTACATGCCAAAAATGCTGTCTATGTAGGAAGCATGTAAAAAACAAAAATCCAAAATTTTGTATAGGACAAGAGTTTTCAAACTGGGGCAAAAGGACCCCAAGGGGGCCGCAATGAAGTGCTAGGGGGTCCACGGAAAAGCTAACAATAAAACAGTCTAAATAAATACATAATTTAAAAAATATAAATAATTGATTTAATACATTTTTAAAAATACTAAAACAATTATTTTAAAAAATACTAAAATGGATAAATAATACAGTAGGAAAACTGTTTAACATAATAATGGTATAAAAACTAAAAATATTTTCCAAAAAAATATATATATTAACATTACGTTTTCATAGCATATGTTGGATCTTTTATACATAAAAAATTCTAGGATTTAATTCTAGGATGGGGGTCCCTTAAATAACGCTGATCATATTCGGGGTCTGTAGCATCTAAAAGATTGAAACCCCTTGGTCAATGAAGCCAACACACAATCTTTTAAAAGAGACAGCACAATGTCACCTGTGATGCCCTAAAAAGCTGTCTAGGTAGACAGCTTACTAGGTTCTGAAATACAATCCAAAAATTATGCCACCTTTAATGTTCAAAATGTTGTCTAGGTAGGCAGCACACTAGATTTTGAATACAAAACAAAAACTGACGTCCAATTTGATGCCAAAAATCCTGCAAACGCCTATGATGCTAAAAACGTCAACTTCACTACGTTTTTTTCAATACAAAACTAACATTTTGCAATCTATAATGCCAAAAACGCTGTCTATATAAGGTTTTCAAACACAGCCAATGATTGTGATAGAGGACAGTGAGATATGAGGGATCTGTCAGTCCAGCTCACAAGGCTCGTTAAAAACCACTAAATCGCACAAATCTGCTTTTGATGAGCCTAGATTTTTAAATGTAATGTGTGTTTGTTGGGTGTATGTGTTTTAAGTGTGTGTTCGAGGGGAAACAGCAGCTGAGGATGTGAAAAACAGGAGTGGTTGTTCCCCACCCCCATCCATCGGCCTACAACAATGAACAACAAACACACCACATTTCATTCACATTTATCGCCTTTTCCGCATCAAATTCGGCGCACAGGTACACTCACGTGTAAAATGAATCGTCTTACCCCCAAAATCCACAAGGGCAGCGGGGAGGAATGCTAGGCGGCTTGCTGCGCTCGCTTCCTGTGTCCCCCATGGTGGCGATGTGGCGGCGGCAGGTTTCAGCAGGAAACACCGGGGATCCACTCGCGGCCTAGTGCTTGTGCGGGAATTCCTCGGCTCGACGTTTAATCAAAAATGCTTTGCAACGAAATCCCCGAGCTGAAAACGCAGCGTAAGAAGTGAACGATGAGGACACGAGCGGCCGTTACTATGAATTCGACGTAATTTAGACAAAAATCAAGAAATTAACGGCCGCGTACAGTCCGACGGACCGCACCGGGAGTCGAGGCCGATCAGCTGGCGAGTGGAAGATACCAACTTCCGAATAGGGTTTTGTTAATCATGAGTAAAATCCATTTAAATACTGATATTCCAGTTTTACTCATATTTACACAAGATCCTGTTATTATACGGTGGAATACACAATACGATGTTTAAATGTTGGTCTACATACATTAACATCACGTGTTAATAACGCTTTAGCGAACCACTGTTCCCCCAAAAGAAAGTGGAACGTCCCAAGCTGTATTCCTTGTTTGTAAAGTGGATTTGTGCTTTAAAGCTGTTTAAGTACAAGACCTGCTCCAGACCCCTACATAAGATGAACCGCTCGCGATGGCCTTGACTACAACACATATTGAAGCAAAACACAAATATTACATTAAAAGTATAAAATAACAGTACAAATACATGACATTGAATTGCACATTGACAACACACTGGCTCAAGGCCATACAGTAATGTATCTTTCTCTCTCTCTCTCTCTCTCTCTCTCTCTCTATTGGAAGGGGGGATTCCAATGATTGAATTGTATACACAAAATCAAAAATGTTAACTTATATTATATTTGGACCTTTTTAGAAGTTGTTGTGTTGAAAATATTCTGGGTACAACTATATTTGTCAACACAATTGAAGAATTAAACTAGAAAAGGAAAGTGCATTGATCTGTTGTTGGTTCACCTGAATGTCTCGAATACATTTTGAGTTTGAATGTTGTATATGCTTAATAGACTTTGAATACTTACACATTTAATCAAGTTGTAAGGGACAGACAGACAGACACAAACAGACAGACAGACAGACAGACAGACAGACAGATAGATAGATAGATAGATAGATATTATAATACTCTATCAAAACCAGAGTACACTTTATACACATAAATACTATATTACAGTGGGACACAAACAGACAGACAGACAGATAGATAGATAGATAGATAGATAGATAGATAGATAGATATTATAATACTCTATCAAAACCAGAGTACACTTTATACACATAAATACTATATTACAGCGGAAACTGGAGATAGTTGATAGCTGTTACACTCTTTGATCCAGTGAATATTTCTTAATACAAAAAAAAATCAATTTCTTAATAATTTCTTAATAAGCACGTTGCCCAGGAAATAAAAAGTACATGTTCATTGTAAATATTGATTTTTTTTTTTGTGACAACACGTCCCAATTGCAGTAAGAGCAGAATTCATGAAACACCAATATATATATATATATATATATATACATATACAAAATAAAGCATGTTACTGTATTACAGTATTCAGTATCACATTGATATGTTGCAAATATTCAGGGTGCGAATCTGAATTTTGTTTACAGAATGTGTAAATCAAATGCAGTCACTGTATCATGACCTACCAAACAATAGAGCAAATTATCCTTTCTTTATCATGTGATATCTGAACATAAGCGGAGGGTTGAACGACTCCCTTTCAAAGCAACATTTCCCTCATCACTGGCTAAGTCCAGCCTGAGGCCTCCAGGTCTCCTGAGACGCTCCACAACTTCAAAGACAATTTCCCCCTCATTTCTACACACAGAACTTTGGGAATTAATGAGAAACTGTTTCAAAGATGACAGAGCTATAATGTAGCTTGAGCGCATCAAGAGTGACTCAGATTCGCTTTCTTTCACAACGTTTCATTCACCCGAGTCGCACACAAACACCAAACAGTCACTCAGGAAAATAACCATCAGATTGATACGCATATTTATGATGGTTTACAAGAGTTCACGTCAACTTTTCAACTTTTTGCAGAGTTAGAAATCCCCCTTTACTCTCCGTGTTGTTTCCTGCCTGAAGAGAGACTACAAAGACGATGCTCTCAAAGGAGGTTTGATTATTTAATGGGGAAAATCAGAAGGTGCTGTGCAGCGGGACCTTGTAGATGCATTGATGTGCAAAAAAAAGAGAGAAGCTCAAGATGCCTGGAAGAGGGGGAAAAACAACTGTGATGATTTTGAAGTGAATTGATGAGCACGGGTGAACTTTCATACTTTTCAAAAACACAGCAACAAGGCCTTTGAGTAAAATATACTCAGATTTAACTTTCATATCAAGGTAGGTACATTCAAAAGCTTCTTTTAAGCGCTACATTGAACGATGATCCTTTCAAAGTTATACACAGTGGATCCAATGCAATTCAGCAGAGCTACTGCAGGTATATGGCAAACTGATATGAAGGGTTTTACTCTAGGACAGAATGGAAAGTTCCTGGTTCACATATATACGCTCTTAAAAATTAAAGGTTTCAAAAGGGGGTTTTCACAGCAATGCCATAAATGAACCACTTTTAGTTCCCCAAAGAACCTTTCAGTGAACAGTTCTTAGTGTGAAGGACATTTTAACAGTCTAAAGAACATTTGTCCACTGTAAAGAACATCTCATGAAATGGAAAGATTCAACAATCTTAAAAATAAAGTTCTTTATTTGCATAGATGATTCCATGAAGAACCTTTAATATCCATGGAATCTTTCCATGGCACAAAAGGTTCTTTATAATGGAAAAGGCACCTGGTATTAGGATGTGTTTTCGGTCTGATCACAGGTGGATAACGCTAAATAAAAATGGTTCTTTTAAGAAGTGTTCACTGAAAGGTTCTTTGAGGAACCAAAAATGGTTCTGTTATGGCATCACCGCAAAAAAACAAAAACAAAAAACATCAATGTCAATAAAGAATCTTTATTTTTTAAAAGTGTCACTTTTTAAGAACAAAAATTCAAACATAAAAGTAACCTTTTAAGAACAAACATTCTTCAAGTCAGTGTTAATTTTGACAGGCATTTTTGATTTAGCCTTAGTCTTTATCTTGAGACGAAAATGCTTAATAGTCTTTGTCACATTTTAGTCATTTGAGTCTTTCATAGTTTTAGTCATTGCATTTTTGTCAACTTTTAGTCAAACTGCAGTTACCAACATTTATTTTGGAAGCTATTTTATATGTAGTCTTCAAACAAAAATAGTCATTCATTCTTTTCTCTTTAGACCAAATCAGTTAAGCTTGAATCAAGCTTAATTAGCTCTGAGAACTGATCGCGCGCTGTATATGAGAACTGAAGAAGTGAAGCGTGCGCGAGAGAGAGCACTTCTATCAGCACGATTCCACCGCTCCAATAACTTTAAGTTATTCGACAACGAATTGTGACTCCTGGGAAAAACGGGACGTCTGTCCATCCTATCCCTAACCCTTCGGGTGCTGAGGCCATTGTTTCAGATCGCTAGTTCGCGTTTTGGTAGCCTATCCGTCCACTGCGGCTGCCATACTGAGACTAGATATGCAAACGCCCCTTATCCGATTGCAATCCAATGACAGGAATGCACATTTTTAAAGACAAGACAGTTAACTTAGCCTATAGCAGCGGTTCCCAAACTGGGGTGCACAGACCGACCAGCAGGGGTGCGCGAGAGAATACTTTTGATGATCTGTGTGCATTTTTTGAAGGGGCAAGTGAAAGAGAATTTTACTTGCCCGACCGGACAACTAATCTAATCTAATTAAAACATCGAATTAGGGAAGCACCAAAATTTCGGCGAGAATGATTCTGATTTTATTACACCATATCGCAGGCTTTGCGATTAGGAAATCGCAACGTCTCAAATCGCGATTTCGATTCGATTTCGATTAATCGCACAGTCCTAGTGCACGCTGCAAAAAGTTTGGGAACCACTGGCCTATAGGATGTATTTTGAATGTCCGGTAGTCCTCAAATAACATTCTAGTCCCGTCTCGTCTTGTTAATGAAGACACTGCATAAATTTCATCATAGTTTTTATCATCAGATATTAGCTCGTCAACGTCTCGTCTTAGTCACAGAAAAAAGGTTCGTTAACTAATATTTTTCATCGTCGTCTTCGTTGACGAAATTAACACTGCTTCAAGTATTTGCCTTTAAACCTTGCTATGATTCAGACTTATCTAGAAAAGAAAGTTTGACTTTAAATGTCGGCTTGACCAGTCAATCATCTCAAGAGTTTAAAAAGGTAGAAGTGGATAGATGGACGGACAGACAGACAGACAGACAGATAGATAGATAGATAGATAGATAGATAGATAGATTAAAAAACACTATTATAAAAATGAAAGAAAATGTGCTGCTTGATTCAATACAGCTGCTTGATTCATGAGGGCCAATTTCAGAAGAGGGATGTTTAAGATACAAACAGCCATGGATTTCATGGGAAATCTTTATGTGTGCATGTCTCTCCATAAACGAGTGCTTCTCTTATCCTTTAATTCCTTCCCAAGAAAGAGCGAGGGCTTTATTGACAAGTGTTTCAGTGTTTATAGGGCTGTGGATAGGATAACAGAAAGCATCCCTCTTATAAGAAACATTAATGTGGTTATAACTGGATTGGACTCTTGTTGCAGTAATGCAATGTCTACAGTAATGTGTTATGGGGTTGTGGTGTGGGGTGTTCAACAAAATGCCCCTCTTACTATGTTAATCATAACCTAACTAGACTAAGTGTGCAAAGTAGTTTTTCAATAAATAAAAACTTTTATTTTTTGATAAAAGTATAAAGGCCTGTTCACAACAAGAATTATAACTATAAAGATAACTATAACTATGTTAGTGTCCACACCAAAGCATAATATCTGTTCTGTTTATTAGAAGCGTGCACTACAGTTTTGTCGCCTGCCGCTTGAGCCCTTTAAAGCCTCTTATACTGCATTTATTTGATCAAAAATATAGTAAAAACAATAATATGGTGAAATAATTTAAAATTGTTTTAAATTTGAATATATATTAAAATGTAATTTATTCCTGTGATGAAAAGCTGACTTTTCAGCATCATCAAAAAGAAATAAATAGGCTAAATAAAATAAAATAAAAAATTGAATAGCTTTGTTTAGTACACCGTTTTCTCTGAACACTCCAATCACAGTGACTAAAGGAAGCACAACCCAATAGCAGATTAAAGAAAATACACGTTTTCTCCTGTGGCATGCTTGCCATCAAATTTATAACATGCAAATGTGTTAAAAGAAATGAAAATTTGCTGAAA